TTGATACCAATATTGGTTTAAATCACAAAAATGGGAGTACAGTTGATGGTGAGAGAGGCTAAGAGTCAGGGTCTACAATCTTCAGGGAGTAAGGGAGAGTATCCAGGAGGCTGGCAGGAGGTTTCATTGAGAACAGTGAGTGGTATGGCCTAAGGACACAAACTTCAAGGAAACAGAATTTTGTAGAGAAAAGGAAAGATAATTAATCTAGAAAAGGCAATGAAGAGCTGGGAGGACTCCTGCCCCTCCTCCAGGTCTGTAGTATATGGCGGGGAGGTGGTGGCGGGGGAGAGAGGGGGGAGGAGGGGGGAACCAGCTCCTGCTGTAAAGGGCCACAACAAAGCACTGTCCTCAGGCACAACCAGATTTTAGTGAAAGCAGGAAGGGGAAATGAATGTTTGGAGAAGAGGTTGAGGACTTACGACATTTTCCTGAGGGTGGACCATGAGTTTCAGGGTCATAGTAGAAGAATGGAGAAAGTAGGGAAGGGTGAGAAACTGATTAGATTAAGGGATATGGCAAGAGTCTGCGTGATGATGGGTTACCTGAGAGTCTTGGATATGGGGCGGATATCGAGATAAATAAGGATATGAGGCCTGCGGCTGAGTCTGGGGTATCTCAGAGAAGAAAATAGGTAATTATTTTCTTCTAGGGTTCATGCTTTATGTATGAACATAATTTTCTTCTCAGGTTCATGCTTTCCAATGGTGAGACAAAGGAGAGCTGGTCTTCCCAGGAACACTAAAGAACTCTTTTTTTTTTTTTTTTTCCTGTTGAGACAGGTTCTGACTCTTGCCCAGGCTGGAGTCCAGTGGTATGATCTTGGCTCACTGCAGTCTCAACCTCCTGGGCTCAAGCAATCCTCCCATCTCAGCCTCCCGAGTAGCTGAGACTTCACGCATGTACCATCATGTCCTGCTAAAATTTTGGATATATTTTGTAGAGATGCGGTCCCACTATATTTGCCAGTATGGGTCTTGAACTCCTGAACTCAAGCTATCCTCCTGCCTTGGCCTCCCAAAGTTCTGGGATTAGAGGTGTGAGCCACTGAGCCCAGTCAAAGACCTCCTATAAATGGTAGCATAGGGGGTATGAAAAGACCATTTTGCAAAAAGAAAAATTGTTCATATTTGGGAAGAAATTCTTTTTTTTTTTTTTGTGACAGAGTCTTGCTCTGTTGCCCAGGCTGGAGTGCAGTGGCATGATCTTGGCTCACTGCAACCTCCACTTCCCAGGTTCAAGCAATTCTCGTGTCTCAGCTTCCTGAGTAGCCGGGATTATAGGCTGTGCTACCACATCCTGCTAATTTTTGTATTTTCAGTAGAAACGGGGTTTCACCATGTTGGCCAGGTTGTTCTCCAACTCCTGACCTCAAGTAATCCTCCCGCCTCGGCCTCCCAAAGTGCTGGGATTATAGGCGTGAGCCACCATGGCTAGCCTGTTGGATCCTTTTGCCTTTTTCTTACTGCTTTATAAGTTATTCATATATTCTGACTACAAGCCCTTTGTCAGTTCTGTGTGTGGCAAACAGCTTCTCCCGTTTGATGACTTGCATTTTTACTATCTTAATGTTGTCTTGAAAAACAGAAGCTCCAATTCACCAATTTTTTAAAATAATTAGTGCTTTTATATATCTTGACCAAGAAATCTTTCTGTACTCCAAAGTCTGAAAAACATTCTGCTATATTATCTTCTAAAAGTTTTATTGCTTGCCTTTCATATTTAGGTCTGTAATATATCTGGAATTTATTATTTTGCATACTGTGACATAAAGGTAATTTTCATTTTCCCTTTATAAATATCCAGTTGACGTAGTATCATTTACTGAAAAGACTCTCCTTTCCCTATTGGCATACGGTGCCACCTTTGTGGTAAATCATATGATGATAAGTTCTGGGCTTTCCAATCTGTTCGATGATCTGTTTATTCTTGTACCAATACTACACTGTGTTAATTACCATGACTTCATGAGTCTTGCTGTTTGTAACTCCTCCCACTTTGTTCATTTTCTTTAATAATGTCTTGGCTATTTTAGGCTCTCTGAATTTTCAGATACATTTTAGAATCAGTTTGAAAATCTTAGCTTGGTGTAGAGGCTTATGCCTATAATCCCAGCACATTGGGAGGCTGAGGCAGGAAGACTGCTTGAACCCAGGAGATCGAGACCAGCCTGGGCAACATAGTGACACCCCATCTCTACAAACAATATAACAACTACCCAGGTATGGTGGCATATAGCTATGGTCCCAGCTACTCAGGAGGCTGAGGTGAGAGGATTACATGAGCCCAGAAGGTTGAGGTTGCAGTGAGCTGTGATTGGACCACTGCACTCCAGCCTGGGTGACAGGGCAAGACCCTGTCTCAAAAAAACAAAAAAGAAAAAAAGAGAAAATCTCCACAATAACAGCCTATTAGGATTTGCACTGGGGTTGCATTGACCCTATAAATTGATTGGGGGAGAAATGATGTCTTTATAATATTCAGTAGCCAATCCATGAATATCCAGTACATAAACATTTTACATCTTTTTGTATAGAAATGTAAGTGATGTTTGTAAATTGATTTTATACCTAGTGTCCTTGCTAAATTCACTTATGAATCTGAATAATGACAGTTTTGTTTCTTTCTATCCAGGTCTCCTCCCCCCCCCCCTCTCTTTCTCTCTCTCTCTCTCTCACACACACACACACACACACACACACATATATATATTATTTTGCCTTATTTTTCTGAGCATGACCTCTGGCACAATGTCTTAAGTAGCCTCATTCCTGTTCACAAAGAAAACACTTTCAATATTTCACAGGTAAGACTGATATTCAGAAGCCAAGGATTGCCTGTAGTCTCAGCTACTTGCAGCTACTTGGAAGGCTGAGATGGGAGGATTGCTTGAGCCCAGGAGGCAAAGGTTGCAGTAAGTCAAGATTGCACCGCTGCACTCCAGCCTGTGGGACAGAGCGAGATCAAAATAAATAAATAAATAAAAATTAATTTGCTGACTTTTTTCTTACTTCCTGAGGTAGGTTGATCTTCAGCCTTTCTTGTTTTGGGATATATACATTTATAAATCTATACATTTCTCTCTAAGCACAGGAAGTTTTGATATGTCCTACTTTGATTATCATTCATCTCAAAATATTTTGTGATTTCCACCCTGACTTGTTCTTTAACCATTCTGGTTCAATTAAGAAGCATTCTTAGGCCATGCATTGTGGCTCATGCTCATAATCACAGCACTTTGGGAGGCCAAGGCAGGCAAATCACTTGAAGCCAGGAGCTTGACACCAGCTTGGTCAACATGGTGAAACCCTGTCTCCGCTAAAAATACAAAGATTAGCTGGGTGTAATGGTACAGTCTGTAATCCCAGCTACTTCAGAGGCTGAGGAAGGAGAATTGTTTGAACCTGGGAGGTGGAGGTGTCAGTGAGCCAGGATCACACTACTGCACTCCAGCCTGTGCTGCAGAGCAAGAGTCAGTCTCAAAAAAAAAAAAAAAAATTAATTAATTTTAGAAAAAGAAGTATTCTTAGTTTCCAGAAATACAGGAATATTTCAATTTCCTTTTTGTTATCAGTTTCTAGCTTAATTAAACTCTAGTGAAATATACTCCTATGATCTCAGTATTTTGAAGATTGTTAAGACTTATTTTATTGCTCAGCATATAGTATATTTTGGTAAATGTTCTTTGTATTCAATTATATGATTCCATATTTTTTATTGGGTGCAGTGTTCTTGTTCTACAGTAGTCAATTAGGTCAAGTTTGCTAATCATGTGCAAATTTTCTATATCCTTCTAACTTTTGACAGCTCATTTTATCATTTAAGGAGAGAAGTGTTTTAAAGTAGCCTGTATGAATATGTCTTTTCTCCTTTTTGTTTCTATTTTTGCTTTATGTATTTTGAGGCTAAATACTGAGTATAAATAGATTTATTTTATCTTTCTAGAATCAAATCTGTTATTATGGAATAATCCTCTTTATTTTAGTAATGCTTTTTTGCTTTGAAGAAAATTTTGTCAGTTTTAACTTTCAGACTTTCTGATATCTTACAGTTGTTTCTTGTGAACATATTGTAGGGCTTTGTTGTTTTTTATATGGCCTGACAATCTTTGTCATTTGATTGGAGCATTTAGTCCATTAACATTTAATATAATGTAAATGGTGATTGATTTTTTAACATTTCTTGTTACTTTAAAAAAAAAATTTCTAACATTTATTATTTGCTTGCAACTTGTTCCTCGGTTTTATGTTCTTTTCCCCCCTTTCTTCTGTTCCTTTGAAATGGCTTTTAAAACTGTTACTAGAACGATAATGTAAAGAAAAAGGCCTAAATCTTAAGTGCATACCTTGATGAACTTCATCAAGTGAGCTTCATAAACTGAGCAGACACAAAAGACCACATAAACTGAGCACATGTGTATAACTGAGGCAGGAGAATAGGGAATTAAGGTAGCCAAGGATTGAGGCATAAGCAAAGGAATAGCCAAGGGTTGGGGCATAGGCAAAGGAATAACAGGTGCAGCCAGTTCACAGCAGCAAGAGAACAGCAGGTGCAGCCAGTTCTAGGGAAGATTGGGCAGCATATAGGCCAACTCTTTACTCCTGTGATGACAGAAGTTTCCACTTCAGCCTCTGATTGACTGTGCGCCAAGCTTCCACTTCAGCCTCTGATTGGTTGCAGCCCAATCCATCATAGGGCGTAACCAATGGAAGGCCTCTAACACTTGGAGGGTTGCTGCCAACTGTTTTTGGCTTTATAGAGACCCTGCGGAGCACTGCAGTGAAGTTTATTTGAGCTTGCTCTGACTCTGGTGAAATTGTACTCTCACTTTTTCAGTAAGTTTGTGCCTTTATTACTCTTTTATTTCATTGTTTTGTTTGTGCATTTGTTGCTTTGTGCATTTTGTTTATTCTTTGCACAGCGCACCAAGAACCTGGACAACTCACGGTCAAGACCTTCTATCCAGTAACATATTTTGCTGGGCCAGCCAGGAGGTAAGCCCAGATTCTGGGACTTGTTTTTCCTTTTCTTTGTCAAAGCTGTTATTTGTGGGCACAAGTTGGGCAGATAAAAGCCAGTAGGGTACGTCTCGCTTGAAGTGTTCTGTGACAGGATAACTTGGTCATAGAACAGGACATTTAGGGCCTGCCAAGAGCAAGACAAATTCATGCAACAGACAGGTTTTTGTTTATATGGCAAAATGTCTTTGAAAAGGTTAGACACTGCAGGCTGGGCACAGTGGTTCATGCCTATAATCTCAGTACTTTGGTAGGCTGAGGTGGGTGGATCACTTGAGGTCAGGAGTTCGAGACCAGCCTGGCCAACATGATGAAACCTCCTATCTACTAAAAATACAAAACTTAGCCAGGCGTGGTGGTGCATGTCTGTAGCCCCAGCTACTTGGGACACTGAGGCAGGAGAATAGCTTGAACCTGGGAGGCAGAGGCTGCAGTGAGCTGAGATGGCACCACTGTACTCCAGTCTAGGGGATAGAATGAGACTCTGTCTTTAAAAAAAAATGGCTAGACCTCTCATTTTCTGATTCCTATGTTCGTCTTGTTGATGATTTGTTGGGAAGTAATAGTACAGAATTACTTTTCCCCTCATTTATATTCCTCTTTTAAGAGTGGGGCAAGAGACTCCTGTTTCACGAATTCTTTATATTTCTCTTCTCAGAGTGGAGCAAGGGATTCCTGTTTTATGCATGAATTCTTTTTTCATGAGAACCCAGAATTTTTAATTGTTTGTAGGGAAAAATCCCCAACTTTATTGTTAATAGTTTTAAAGTACATTGCAAGGTCCCTTGTTTCATGAGGGTTACAGGCCGAAGAAGGATTGCCTGAGTCCAGGAGTTCGAGACCAGACTGGGCAACACGGTGAAACCCCCATCTCTTATTTTTTTAAAAAAGCAAATAATGTAATAAAGTAATTATGGGCTGGGCACAGTGGCTCACACCTGTAATCCCAGCACTTTGTGAGGCTGAGGTGGGCAGATCACATGAAACCAGAAGCTCAAGATCAGCCTGGCTAACACAGTGAAACCCCATCTCTACTAAAAATACTAAAATTAGGCAGATATGGCAGTGTGTGCCTATAGTCCTGGATACTCAGGAGGCTGAGGCAGGAGAATTGTTTGAATCTGGGAGGCGGAGGTTGCGGTGAGCTAAGACTGTGCCATTGTACTCCAGCCTGGGCAACAGAGCAAGACTGCCTCAAAAAACAAACAACAAAAAAATAATAAAATAATTAGAAACATGTTTGTGTCTGGTTCATTTTGCTCAAAATTTTTGTAAAATTAATCCATGTTTGTATTAGTCGGCAAATCTACCATAGCAAAGTATCAGACTTGGGTTGCTTAGACAACAAAAGTTAGTTTTATCATGGCTCTGTAGGCAAGAAGGCCAAGATCAAGATCTATCAGGATGGTTTCTGGTGAGGCTTCTCTTCCTGGCTTGCAGATAGCTGCCTTCTTGCTGTGTCCTCAAATGGCCTTTCCTTTCTGTGTGTGCAGAAAGAGATTTCTGGTCTCTTCCTCCTATAAGGACACCAGTCCTATTGGATTAGGGCCCCATCCTTATGACTTCATTTAACCTTAATTACTTTCTTCAGAGCCTTATCTCCAATTACAGTCACACTGGAGGTTAAGGCTTAAAGATATAAATTTTGGGGGTTGGGTAGGGGTGACATAATGCAGTCCAGAACAATATTACTATATGTCTGTTAGTTTTCATAGCTGTGTAGAAATTCTTTGTGTGCATATACTGTTTGGAAAACTCTGCCCCTATCGTGAAAGCTCTCTTTCCCTCCCCCACAAAAAGGCTCCCTTATCTCTCACTCTACATACTGCTCTGGCCTTCCCGCCCGGCCGCAGCCACCTCCCGCCTGGCAACCAGCTGACCAATCACCGCCTGCCTCATCAGCACTCCCCAGCTTCCCGCTGCCCGGCTTCCCCGCCCGGCATTTCAAACTGACCAACCGTTGCCCGCCACCTCGGTTCTCTCAGCTTCCCCACTCCCTCAGCCCTTCAGCCCCCTATAAAAGAACTCTGCTCCTCTGAGCGGCGTGGCCATTTTCCTCTTCTTCCCAGCTGGTCCGCCTGGAGGCTCTTTCCTCTCAATAAAGCCTGAACTTAAGACTTTCTTCTAACCTGCGGTCCGGTTTTTTTCTGAACAAGCTCTGTCTTCCCATAGAGGGTAGGTTGGACAAGTGGTGCCGAAACCTGGGAGCTGGGGCCATTGGCCCGGCCACAGCCCCCTCCCCTGACCTACCCAACACTGGCCCTGCCACCTCCACGCTCCGATTAAGGTAAGCCAAGTTTATTCTTGCTTTACCTTCCCCCGCTTCCCTTCTCCTCCTCCTACGGCATGGTGCAGTTGCTCCCCTCCGGCGTTCCGCACGGACTCCTCGCCTAGTCTCGGCCGAGCCAAGGAAGTCCTCCATTCCGGCTCCAGGAGCCTTCCAAGGGGTAGCTGCCAGACGGGGGACGCCCCTCTGACCGCTTCCCTAACCATACTTAACTGTACTCCGGGGAATTTGCAACAAAAGGGGACGCCTTTTCTTTGCATCTACCCAACCGCGCCGGAGGGTCTGTAGCTACGCCCGCCATCGGAAATTCGGAGTCCAAAATACCTTCTAGCACCCCCCTTGGGTGCTTGCTGCAAAATTTTACCAAATTGGGATACTCCCAAACCCTCAGAAAGAAAAAGCTTGTCTTCCTGTCCCAGGTGGCTTGGCCCCAATACAAACTCAGTAACCAGTCACATTGGCCCCCGACTGGCACTTTCGATTTCAACACCCTCTGAGATCTCGACAATTTTTGTCACCGCACGGGCAAAGACAATGAAATTCCTTTCGTTCAGGCTTTTTGGGACCTCCGTACCCGCCCTGACTTACGTTCTTCCTGCTCCACCTACCAAATCCTCTTAGCTCGTACCCCTCGTAAATCTTCCTCCACTACCTCTCCCCCTCCCTACTCCTCACCAGAAGATCTGCCTGAACATCTGTCCCCTCCTGCCAACCTCGGCAACCAGTCGCCATCAACAGCACACCCTTCCCCCACTCCCTCTGCACCTCCTACCTCAGAGGCCATGCCTCGCCCTTCCTCCACTCCCTCTGGGCCCCCTCCCTCGGAGGCCACACTTCCTCTTGCCTCCCCAGTGGCGGCCCACACCCGCTCTCACCAACCAACTATCCTGGCCCCACTCCGAGAAGTATCAGGCACTGAAGGCTTAGTCAGGGTCCATGTTCCTTTCTCACTCCAAGACCTGTCCCAAATTGAGAAACATTTAGGATCCTTCTCAGCCGACTCGTCCACCTATATTAAGGAATGCCAATACCTCACTCAAGCCTACAGCCTCACGTGGCATGATATTCGCGTTATCTGTACCTCCACCCTCACTGCAGAAGAGCATGAGCGCATCCTAGCGGCAGCCAGACACCAAGCAGATAAAGATCATGCTATAGATAACCAGATCCCCCTAGGCCCCGAAGTAATCCCAAGTGAAGACCCCCAATGGGACTATCAGGCCCAAGAGAGACCACATGATTAGATACCTCCTCAGGGGAATGGATACTGTATCTAACAAAGTTGTAAACTATGATAAACTAAGAGAAGTCACCCAACTACCCGATGAAAACCCTGCCCTGTTTCTCACCCGTCTTCAAGACGCCCTTACCTGCTTTACTTGCCTAGACCCAGCCTCACAAAACGGGGCGTCTGTCCTAGCATCTCATTTCATATCTCAGTCCGCCCCTGATATCTGGAAAAAACTGAAGAAGGTAGGAGATGGCCCCGAAACCCCTATACAGGACTTGGTAAAAATGGCCTTTAAAGTATTCAATGCCAGGGAAGATGCGGCTGAGGCTGCCCGCCAAACTCGCATGAAGCAGAAAGTCACTCTACAGACCCAAGCCCTAGTAGCGGCCCTTCGGCTGGCAGAAATAACAAGGGTAAAGCAAATACCCGCACCCCTCCAGGGGCGTGTTTCAAATGTGGAAAAGAAGGGCACTGGTCAAAAGCCTGCCCCCAGCCACCCCTATTTGTCAGCTCATGGGACACTGGAAGTCGGATTGCCCTAACTCACCTCAGGCCTCAGTTCCTCAAAACTCTGGCACGAGGGGGCAGCAGGGTAACATCCCCTGGAGCCAGGCTTCTGCCTTAGCTGGTCAGGAGCCAGGCATTCAGGAATCTCCAATCCCAAAGCTGTTAGGGTTCAGGGATGATTAACAGGGCCCTGGCTCCTCAACCGCAGTTACCCTTGCTGAGCCCAGGGTCATGCTTCAGGTAGTGGGTGAGAGCGTACACGGGGGCTACCTACTCCGTTCTTCCCTCCTTTTCAGGCAAATCCACCCCTTCCCAGGTCTCTGTTATAGGAATTGATGGGTCCCCCTCCACTCCTCACCAAACCCCACCCTTAACCTGTCTGTTTGGCCCTTCCATTTTTACCCACTCCTTTCTAGTCATTCCCTCTTGCCCTGTACCTCTCCTAGGGTGAAATATCCTAGTAAAATTGCAAGCTACCATTACTTTTCCACACACAGAGACCTTCCTCTTACCCCTCATCACCAACTCACCTTCCCCCCTTCCTCCTGCCGAACTCCTCCCTGACGTAAATCCCAAAGTATGGGATACTGATACCCCCACTGTAGCCTCAAACCACCAACCCATACTCATACACCTAAAAGACCCCACAGCCTTCCCTTCTCACCCTCAGTTTCCTATCTCCAAAGTTCACCGTCTCGGCCTCCTACCTATCATAAATAAACTAAAAGCTCAAGGACTACTCATTCCTGCAAACTCCCCCTGCAACACTCCCATTCTGCCTGTGAAAAAGCCCTCAGGTCAGTACCGCCTGGTTCAAGACCTCCACCTTATCAATGCAGCAGTCATTCCAGTCCATCCAGTAGTCCCCAACCCCTATACCATCCTCTCACATATCCCACTTTTCAGTCCTAGATCTTAGGGATGCTTTTTCTCTATCCCGCTACACCCCGACTCCTACTTCCTCTTTGCTTTTACCTGGAAAGATCCTGTCACCAATCTGTCTCAACAGTTAACGTGGACGGTCCTCCCTCAAGGCTTCCGGGACAGCCCCCACCTGTTCAGCCAGGCCCTGGCGACAGACCTGCAGCAATGTAACATCTCCCCTTCTTCCTTACTCCAGCTGGATCCAAGCTTTCCCCACAGCTTATAAAACCGCAGGAGTTGTAGCCGAGCACCTCATCCAGGACATCATTCCCCGATTCAGCCTTCCTTCTACCATCCAGTCAGACAACGGACCTGCCTTTATTTCTAAGATCACCACTGCCGTTTCCACATCCTTAGGGATTCAGTGGAAACTGCATGCAGCCTACCATCCCCAATCCTCGGGTAAAGTAGAACAGGCCAACGGCCTCATCAAAGAACACCTAACAAAACTTGCCCTCGAACTCCGCCAGTCCTAGGTTACCCTACTTCCTAATGCTTTGACAAGGCTCCGAGCAATCCCCCAGGGCCCCTCACAACTCAGCCCTTTTGAGCTGCTATACAGATGGCCCTTCTTACTCTCCTCCCCCCTACCACCAGAACCCCCTCCTCTATCTACCTACCTGCCCTATTTCACCCTCCTCCGAGCTCTTCTCCGAGAACACGCTGATACCTCCCTTCCCCAGCCTGATTCCTCCCCTAACCAAATACAGAAAGTTTCCCCAGGAGACCTGGTCCTTATAGAGTCACTCTCTCCAAAGCCACTAACTCCCAGGTGGGAAAGCCCATACACAGTCATCCTCACCACCCCCTCAGCAGTAAGAGTCGCCGAAATCTCCTCGTGGGTGCACCTAACCAGAGTAAAGAGAGCACCTCATGGGCCTCCCAAATCCTCCTAGAATGTTACCTCTACTGGTCCTCTATCTCTTAGGCTTACCAGAACCCCACAACACCTCCAGTAACCCCCCTTCTTTTATATGGAGATTCTACCTAACTGAAAATTACACCAAAACCACACACATTTGCAACACCCCTCCCTACAGCCACAACCACCTCCTCTCCACTTATGACTGCCCCCCTACAGGGTGCAACTCACCCATCTTTCTAAACTTCACTGATTTCAAAAACATACCCAGAAATGACTTTTGGGGTCATAATCCTGTCCTCTGTTTTCTCTATGATCAAAAAGGCCCCTGCAAAATGTCATCTCACCTAAATTGCATAGGATGCACCTGGACGAGTTGCGCCGTCCCCCCAGCACTCCATAGCGCCGATTACTCCGACTCCAAGCTGGAATACCACATTTTCAGCCGTCCTCCCTATCGCTCTGTCCAAATCCCTGACCCTTCAAACTCCTGCTAGATCACACTCCAAAAAGCAGCAGTATACGACACCATAAATACCGGGTACCCCTCCTCCCACCTCTATATCTGGAGAGCTTTGGTAGCTCTACCCCCTACCCTTAAAGAAGTTCACTCCTCCATTCACACCCAGGAACAAACGCTGACCCAACAACTTCAGCCATCCTCTCAACCTTTCTCATGGCTAACCCTCCTCAATGAAGGCCTAAAAATCACTAACCAGCTTGCCAACCGAACGAGTCTACCAAAGCTATCTTCATGCCTCATGTGCGCCACCCCAGGACAAAGCCCTTTAGTCGCAGTCCCATCTAACACTCACGCCAGCTCCTCCAAACCGTCCTCCCGGGCTACCCCCATAGCAGATGTCGAGGTCTACCTGCCCCCAAACCAGCGAACACCAGTCTGCTATGGGAACAGCTCTCCCACCTGCAGCCCCACTATACCCATAACCACCAATCTCACCGCTCCTCACGGAACCTGTTTATGGTGCAACAGAACACTTTTCAAAACCCTCAACCCCTCTACACCCTCCCGCAGCCTATGCCTACCAGTAACCCTCGTACCCCGATTAACCATTTACTCCCCAGCAGAGTTCCAACAACAATTCATACATCATCGTGTACGACGGGCCGCCTTTTTACCCCTCATAGTAGGTCTCTCTCTCGCCGGATCAGCCATAGGAGCCGGAATAGGGGGAGGAGCCCTAGCCCACTCCCCTCAGGCCCTAGCACGACTAACCTCTCAATTTCAGGCCGCCATCGACAATTCTGCAGAATCTTTAGCCTCTCTCCAAAGACAGATCACCTCAGTGGCTCAAGTCGCCCTACAAAATCGCCGGGCGTTAGACCTCCTCACCGCCGAGCGAGGAGGAACCTGCATCTTCCTACAAGAAGAGTGCTGCTACTACATCAATGAGTCCGGCCTAGTAGAAACCCGAATCGAGAACCTCCAGAAACTTAAAGTTAACCTGCAGAATCAAAAATTCTCAGCTGAAGCCACAGCACAGTGGTCTTCCTCTGTGTATACCCTCTTGTCCCCGTTGCTTGGGCCCCTGATAGCCGTTTGCCTAATCTTACTTATCGCTCCTTGTTTTCTACAGTTCCTACAGCGGCGCTTTCAGGAACTAACTCGAGTCACCATCCACCAGATGCTGCTCCGACCTTACCCCGAACAGGTGCTGGAAGCGGACCCCTCCCCGAACATCCAGGCTCCTTAGGAAAAGAAACCTCTTCAGAACCCCCCGTCGACCCTTGTCAGCAGGAAGTAGCCAGAGAGACAACCGACGCCCCTGACCCCCTCTCTTCTTTTCTTTAAGGAGTCGGGAATGTTTGGAAAACTCTGCCCCTATCGTGAAAGCCCTCCCCCTCCCACACAAAGGGACTCCCTTCTCTCTCACTCTACATACTGCTCTGGCCCTCCCGCCGGCCGCAGCCACCTCCCGCCCGGCAACCGGCTGACCAATCACCGCCCGCCTCATCAGCTCGCCCCAACTTCCCGCCGCCCGGCTTCCCCGCCCGGCATTTCAAACTGACCAACCGTTGCCCGCCACCTCAGCTCCCTCAGCTTCCCACTCCCTCAGCCCTTCAGCCCCCTATAAAAGAACCCTGCTCCTCTGAGGCTCGGCCATTTTCCTCTTCTTCCCGGCTGGTCCGCCCGGAGGCTCTTTCCTCTCAAAGCCTGAACTTAAGACTTTCTTCTAACCTGCGGTCCGGTTTTTTCCGAAGGAGCTCAGTCCTCCCGCAGAGGGTAGGTCGGACATATACTATATGTATTTATGGTATGTGTATACTATGTTTTATTTATTTATACTGGTATTAATGGTGATTTGAACTGTTTCCGGTTTGAGATTATGAATAGTCTTCTATGAACATTATTATGTGTTTTGGGTGAATATTAAAGATTTCTGTTTGGTATATACCTGAGAATTGCTAGGTTCATAAAATATTCTCAATTTCAGCATTACTAGACACAGTTTCCCCTAAATCAATTTACATTCCCACCAGCAGTTACTGAGAGTTCTTTTTGTTTCCTATCTTTGTAAATATTTGTTATTATCTGACTTCCATTTCTTTATTTTAATCAATTCTGGAGGTTGTATGGAATATCTCGTTAGGATTTTAATTTATATTTCCTCCATAACTAATAAAGTTAAGTACCTTTTCTGTGTTTTTTGACCATTTGGATATGCTTTATTAATTTATATTTAAATATAAATTATGTTTTATGAGACAGGGTCTTGCTGTGTTGCCCAGCCTAGAGTGCAGTGATACAATCACAGCTCTTTGCAGCCTTGCCCTCCCAGGCACAAGCAATCCTACCACTTCAGCTTCCTGAGTAACTGGGACTATAGGCAAGCACCACCATGCCTGGCTAATCTTTTTTTATTTTTTGTAAAGATGTGGATTCACTATATTGCCCAGACTGATCTTGAACTCCTGGCCTCATGCAATTCTTTCATCTTGGCCTCCCAAAGTACCGGGATTACAGGCTTGAGCCATCATGCCTGGCCTATTTAATAATTTATATAATTATTGTGAATTGCTTCTTCAAGTCTTTTGCCCAGTATTGCATTGTTTTGTCTTTCTGTTATTGATTTGTAGGGGTTTTAAATATATTCTTGCCACATAAATACAGACTTGCAACTGTAATAGATTTGTTGTCTGATGCATACAGCAAGTCAATATGCCAAGATACTGGCTTGCAGCAGAGAAAGAGGTTTAATCGTAAGGTCACCAAAGGGCTGGGTGCAGTGGCTTGTTCATGTAATCCCAGCACTTTATAAGGCCAAGGCAGGCTGATCACTTGAGGCCACGAATTCAATTCCAGCCTCTTCAACATGGCGAAACCTCCCTCTCTACTAAAAATACAAAAATTATCCTGGTGCCATGGTGTGTGCCTATACTCCCAGCTACTTGGGAAACTAAGGCAGGAGAAATTGCTTGAACTTGGGAGGCGGAGGTGGCAGTGAGCTGAAATCACACCACTGCGTGCAAATCTGTCTCCAAAGAAAGTCACCAAAGGAGGAGATGGGAGGAAACCTCAAATCCATCTCCCTGAAAGTTTGGAGTGAACGTTTTTAAGGGTTTTGGAGTAGGCCAAAGTGTGGAGATGGTTGATTGGTCAAAGAGGCCGAGTGAAGTCATGGTGACCCCATTCTTCTGTGGGAGTCTTCAAATGGGTTGGTGTCAGCTGTATTACTGGAATTCAGGCAATTCCTAAACCAAAGCCTTATGATTCTAATGTCAGAGATCCTGTCATAGGAACAGTGGAGATGCAAATAAATTATTAAACAGTTTTATAACCCTGCTGTCAGAAATCCTGTCTGTAGTAACAACGGGGATGTAAATGGTCAGGAGCTAGTGCTACGGACTTTTAGCAGCAAGGAAGTGGGCCAAAGGTCAGGCTGATTAATGCTTAATTATAGCTATATTTCTGTCCAGAACCCAGCATACAATTCTTGTCAACCCTGTGGGGTGATTGCAGCCTCTGTTGTTGCAAATATCTTCTTATACTGGGTGGTTTTGTTACCGGAAAGGGGTCCGTCCTGATCCAGATCCCAAGAGAGGGTTCTTGGATCTTCTCCAAGAAAGAATTCAGGGCGAGTCCACAGAGTAAAATGAAAGCAAGTTAGAGAAGTAAGGAAATGAAAGAATGGCTACTCCATAGACTGAGCAGCAGCACGGGGTGCTTGACTGAGTATACTTACGATTATTTCTTGATTCTTGTTTAGACAAGGGGTGAATTATTCATGAGTTCTCCAGAAAAGGGGCAGGGATTTCCTGGAACTGAGGGTTTCTCCTCTTTTAGACCATATAGGGTAACATCTGGACATTGCCACATAAACTGTCACGACGCTGGTGGGAGCGTCTTTTAACATATTAATGTATTATGGTATAATGAGCAGTGAAGACAACCAGAGGTCGCTTTTGCTACCATCTTGGTTTTGGTGGGTTTTGGTTGACTTCTTGACCTGCATTCTATTTCATCTGTAGGTTCTTTATGACTTGGATCTTGTGATACCAGTCCTGCTGACCTGCCATCTCATTCTGTGACTAAGAATGCCTAACCTCCTAGGAATGCAGCCCAGCAGGCCTCATCCTCATTTTTCCTAGGTGCTATTCAAGATGGAGTTGCTCTGGTTCAGCACTTCTGACAGTTTGGCATTTTACTGTCTTTTAACAAGAAGACATTTAAAAATCTTAATATAGGGGGCCAACGTGGCTCCCGCCAGAGGTCGTGGCGCTTGCGAAGGCGAGGTCATGAGTTCAAGGCTAACCTGAGCAACCTCATAAGCTCAAACTGATTGGCAAAAAAAAAAAAAAAAAAAAAATCTTAATATAGTCCAGTTTATCATTTTCCCCTACATAGGTGGCCCATTTTTTTGGGTCTTGTTTAAGAAACTTTTGCATACTACAAGGTTGTGAAGATATTTTCTTACATTTCTTTCAAAAAGCTCTATTGTTTGTCCATTCACATTTAGATCTGCTGTCTGCTGGATTTACTTCTTATGTGTGATGGGAGATAGAGACCAGAATTCTTTTTTTCATATGGATATTCATATAATACAACACCATATATTTGTTTTGAAGAAAACAGTAAAACCTTAGACAAATAAAACATTTATTTATTTACTTGATAGGGTCTTGCTCTGTTGTCCAGGCTGGAGTGCAGTGGTGCAATCTCAGCTTACTGTAGCTTCGACCTCCCCAGACTCAGGTGATCCTCCCATCTCAGCCTCTAGAATAACTGGAACTGCAGGTTCTCTCTACCACAACTAGCTAATTTTTGTGTTTTTAGTAGAGATGGGGTTTCACTATGTCACCCAAGCTGCTCTCAAACTTCTGGGTTCAAGCGATCCACATACCTCTGCCTCCCAAAGTGCTGGAATTACAGGTGTGAGCCACCACACCTAGCTCATTTAACAGACTTTAATTGAGCAAAGAAGGATTTGAGAATCTGGCAGCCCCTTAACAATAACAAGTTCAGAAAGGTTCCAGTGCTACCTTGAGATGGAAGATTTATGGACAGAAAAAGGAAAGTAACATATAGAAAACTAAAGTAGGTACAGAAACAGCTGGATTGGTTGTAGCTCAGTGCGTTTGCATGGTTTGAACAGTTGGCCACCTTTGATTAGCCGAAACTTAGTTATTGGCACCGGAGTAGATTACAGTTTATTTACATACACATCCAGTTAGGTTACAGTTCACTGTATATGGAGAAACCTTTAGGCAGAACTTAAAATATGTAAGGAGGCAGATTTAGGTGAAATTTAATTGAACATATTAAAAGATCTTCCTTTCTCCACACGGTATTAAAGCTTACCTATTTAGTCTTTGTCCCCAGTTCCTGGTACAGAGCTACTAAAACCAGTGGAATTTCCTAGATAGGAATGTCTTCTGTTATTCAGAACAAACCCTTTCTATCACACCTAGGTTTATGCTAATAAGGTGACTTAAGGTGGGGCCTATAGATAGCCTCAGGTTGGGGCTGGTCACTAGGAAACCAGTGATAAGAGGGCTGGAACTTTCAACCCCACCCATCAACCTCCAGGAATGCGGAAGGTGGAGATTAAGTTATATGAGCAATGAGATTTGATAAGCTACCAGGTTGGCGAATACATCCGCTTGCTGGGAGAGTGGTACACCCCAACTCTGAAACCACCATTGAAAATTATAACTGAGAAGTGAAAGAGATCTGACCTAACCAACTCTATCTTGCTTGTAACCTCCAAGCCGTCCTTGTTTATTCCTGCGCATAGGCTGAACTAACTTGGGAAGAACTTAGTTTATAGTTTAAAACAGACTTTAACAGCCCTTTCCCAAAGCAAACTCCCTTCTGGCCTGGGGGATAGATGCCTTTGTAGGACTAACAAATTAACCAAAAGATTAGAAATTATAATTTAGGAGTCATGCAGCTGGAGGCTACAAGATTCCTGGGAATAACCTGACTGTTGTAAAGCTAAGATCAGTGCTTGAGATATTTTGCAGACGTTGCACTTGATGGATCAGCTGGCATCACCCAGATCGATAAACTGGCTCCTCCAATGTCATGGTCGCCACCCAGGAACTGACTCAGTGAAAGAGGACAGCTTCTAATAGATATAATTTTATCTCTGACCTGACCAATCACCACTCCCGACTCACTGTCTCCCCTACCCAGCCTCCCACACACACCGAATTATCCTTAAAAACTCTTGAGGAGACTGATTTGAATAATAAGAGGATTTGAGTAGTAACAGCCAGCTCTGCGTGAATTACTTTCTCTACTGCAATTCCCGTGTCTTAATAAATCAGCTCTGTCTCTGCATTGGGCAAGGTGAGCCAGTTGGGCGATTACAAATTCAAGGGTAAGAAGCTCCTGAATTCAGGAAACTTCCAGGCCTTGCCTGTATGCTGCTTCATCTGCGTGATAATAAACTAGCAAACATAAGTAAAGTGTTTCCCTGAGTTCTGTAAGGGTTATTGCCGAGTTTAAAATGAGAAAACTGCGGCCA